TTTTCACTTTGATCACCTCCCCCTGAGGGGAGAGCATACTTACCAGGCCACAGAGGAAGACAATGCAGCCAGTCCTGATGAGACCTGATAGGCTAGGGTCAGAGGGAAGGGGAGGAGGACCTCCCCTATCAGTGAACTTGGGGAGGGGCATGGGAGGAGATGAGGAATGGAGGGTGGGATTGGGAGAAGGCGAGGGAGGGGTCTACAGCTAGGCTACAAAGTGAATAAACTGTAGTTAATAAAAAATAAATTAATTTTAAAAAAGAAAAGGAAGTGGTAAGTACATACAGAGACTCTTGTGGTGAACATTTTTACAACCATGTTTTTTACTGAGAGAGATTTACAGCTATTCAACAATGACCTTTGAGATTCCAAAGAGCAGCTGGGCAATTTAACACAATCCTTTCACATTGGCAAACCAGTGTCTGGCCTTTTATTTTCAAATTGTAAAGTTTACCCAGAAAATAAAACCTATTTTTTTTTTTCCAGTGAGCTGTTCAAATTGTACAGGTGCAAGGACAAAAGAAAACCTAACACTCTAAAAATGATTACAGTAGTAAGGTCTTAGTGCTGTCTAGATTTTAGTGACACATGATATGATGTTCAGTTAAAATTGGGAGATAAAAAGACCTAGTTTTGAATGGTGTTATCACTGGGAAGAGGAAAATAACTTTAGTTACCAGTGTTTTTACTAAACTCGGCAGTAATAATGTAGATGCAAATATGTGCTCCATACACATTCTTCCCATTAACAAAAGTTGCATGGACAACCACTAAAAGAACACACTGATAGAACTATAGGCCTAAACTGAATGATGGTCTGAGATGTAGTGTGATAGTTGGTTTCAGCTGTCAGTTTGAGCCTGCACCAGGATTCCTTGTGATTAAGACCTTGAATATAAAATAAGTTGTCAAATTGACATAATCTAGCATGATCTGTTCGGAGAGTATCTTAGTCAAGGTTCTATGGCTATAAAGAGACACCATGACCACAGCAACGCTTATTATATAAGAAAACACTTAAATGGGGATTGCTTACAGTTCAGAGGATTAGTCCATTATCATCATGGTGGGGAGCATGGCAGCATATATGCAAACATGGTGCTGGAGGGTAGTTTTACATTGGTATCCACAGGCAGCAGAATGATATAAACACTGGGCCTGGCTTGGGTCTTTGAAAGCTCAAAGCCCTCCTCCAGTGACATATTTCTTCCAACAAGGTCTTATCTGCTCCAACAAGGCAAGACCCCCTTATCCTTCTAAATAGTGACACTCCACGATGACTATGCACTCAAATATTTGGCGTATGGGTGCCATTCCTATTTAAACTACTGCAAGAATTTATAATGATGGACAGTCTAGATCAAGCTAGCCTATAGGCATGTCTGGGAAGGATTTTCTTTTTTTAATTTTAATTTTGTTTTTTCTTCACAATTTATTCATTATATATCACAATTGAAGCTCCCTCCCTCAACTCCCTTCAGTCCAGTCCCACCCTCTCTCCCTCTTTTCCCCATCCTCTTTCCTTAGTCTACTGAAAAGGGGAGTTCTCCACTATTGACATCTGCCCATGGCGACTATATTCATAGCAGCTTTATTTGTAATAGCCAGAATCTGGAAACAACCTAGGTGTCTCTCAACAGAGGAATGGATACAGAAACTGTGGTACATCTACACAATGGAATATCACTCAGCTATTAAAAGCAAAGAAATCATGGGATTTGCAGGCAAATGGATGGAACTAAATGAGATCATCCTGAGAAGGATATTCTTGATCATGTTAGTTGACATGGGAAGAGCCAGTCCACTGTGGATCGCACCATTCCTTACATTTATATACCATGGTATTTAAGAGTGGAAGAAGTATACTGAGCACTAGTAATGCATTCATTGCACTTTGCTCTTGACAGTGAATATGATGTAACTAAAGGCTTCATGTTCCTGTCACCTTAACTGCCCCTGGTCTGTGATGGACTATTACCTAAAACTGTGAGCTAAAATAAACCTTTTCTTGCCTAAGTTAGTTTTTCTCAGAGTAAACTAGGACACATAGCATCCTTTAATGGCTAGTACCAGGATTTTTTTTTCCTTTGGAAACTCCCAGAAGGTCTTCTGAGACATCAGAAAAGTAAACACTAAATTTCTGATATCAGTTACTTAGCTCATTGCTATGTGCAAATACCTGACAAAAAGCAAGTTATGAAAGGGCTTACTTTGGCTAGCAGTTTGCGGATACTGTCCAAAATGATAGAGGAGGAATAGTGGCAGAAACATGAGGCAGCTAAGAACATTGCATCTGCATTCAGAAGGTAGAGAGTAACAAATGCTAGGCTATTATTCAGAACCTTCTTGTTTTTATTCAGCTTGGGACCCAAGCCCGTATCATTCACGATCAGGTTTTGTCTTCTCTGCTCTGTTAAACTTTTCTAGAAACACTTTTGTAAACACCTGCAGGTGTGCCTCCTAAGGGCTATAAAGCCAATAAAATTGACAATGAAGTTTAGTCATTATACTTCATGCTCAGTCCAGTGCAGACTAAGCCACAATTCCCACCCCAGGGTGTTCTGTCTTCTGAATCATTCCAAGAAGCTAAACAGTATACATACTGTAGGAAGAGAGTCCAAACTGAGCCCATATTTTTAGCACAAATTGAGGGAGACTTTAGTCAAGACCTTCTAATAAGAACTTAAAAGCTAACATTTTTATTCTATCTTGAAATTTTTACCTTTAAACTTGTTCACAATCTCTGATCCCACATTTATTAGCATTTAGGAAACTCCAAATAAGTATAATTTGCTCTTAGATTCCTGACCTATTTAGTTTTCCTGTTGTTCCAAACCAAAAGTTAGAAAACTATAACCAAAGGGCTGACTCTTGTTCTTATAAATAAAATTTTATTGTAATTCATCCACATACATTGTAGCACTTTTCTGAGGCTATGTCAACAAATAATTGCAAATATATAGTGGCTTGGATAACAAACAGAAGTTGATTCATATTTTGAAGCCTAGAAGCCTAAAATCAAGGTGTAGGCATACGTTGGATTTCTCCAACAGATCTAAAGGAAGATGCAACCTACATCTTCCTGCCACTGATGGGTGTCAGCATTCCTTGTGTTTGCACCATTATAGATTTTGCCTCTGTCTTCACATGGCCTTTAGTTCTTCCCTGTGTAGCTCAGATTCTTTTCTCTTTCTTCTGCCTTAAAGCTACTTGCCACTGGATTGAGGAACTACACAAATAATTCAGGATGATCTCATATCAAGATCCTTAATTCAGTATGCAAAATGATTTTCCAAATATTATCACATATTCAATAAAGAAACATTCTCAAAGTGAACATGTCATTTGGGGACCATCATTCAACTGATACTCCCATGTGTTCACGTATCTATCATCTCTGGCTGCTTTCATGTTAAAGTTGGTCTAAGAAACGTCAAATATTTCTATATGGCCCTCTTCTAGAAAGTCTTTGCCAAATCCTAGTCTAAATCTAGAGCCCTGTTACAATGAAGCTCTGCTAACTATCTGTTTGCTAGCAGCAATCTGTCCTGCCTGTGCACACACGTGCGCATACACACACAACACAAATGCACACATACATATACACTAAGAGAGAAGGAGAGAGAAGTAATCTATTTTTGTTGAAGTCACATGAGATACACTGACTGCAAAGTAAGATGCAAATATGGCCAGTGTATAGCTCAGTGTCCTTACCAGTAAGTTTTTACTTGTTGCTTATAAAAATGCAGATATTTAGAAAAATTATGCTGAATACTTTTCAGCATTATATAATTTGGGGAGAACAAAAACTACTACAGTAAAACTGACTTTTTCCAAATGTCATGCATACCTGATGTTATTATGCCGAAAATATGGAGCAGGTGGGGTATGAAAGAACAGACAGAAAACTATTAGGGCCCTGAATTTTCCTCCTAGAGTTTCTTCTGGAATCGACAAAGCAATAGCCACAAAATGACCTACTTCTCTCTCTTACTAAATATCAGAGGAAATCTCCACATGTAAATTCCACAGTAAAAGACCCTTGAGGAGCAAATAAAACAATAATATTTAAATTCATGTTTTGAAATTTTAATTTGTGAGAAACATCAAACAAATCATCATGAGGTCCCATGATGCAAACAAATGCTGGAGTAAGCCTAAATATTAACTATGCCTGAAAATAGCTAAAAGGATATCCTGTGAAAAATCCATCTTGTGCATTATATACACATATACACATGCATATAGAAATGAATACTGACATTTATCCATGAATATGTTATACCCAGTAAGGTACAAATAGGCTGAAAATAGAGGTACCACATTTAGTTTTCTAATAAATGTAGGAGAAGTATAAAGATCCTTGACTGTCTCATAACTCAAGGAAAAGGAGGTACATTATCCTCTTTCACCAAATAGGGAATGTTAGATCTCACTTCCCAAAGTAAATGGAGCATTTTCCGGGGAAAGTGTCCATTAGAATATCACCTTTAAGGATTATAAAAATTTTATTTAATTTTATTACATATTTCTGTTCATGAATACCAATGAGGCCTAATAATAAAAGCAAGGATCAGATGAAATTAAGATATCATCCTGAGTTTGGATCCTTAGTACCCACATGAAAATCCATGACTTGTGGTGTGCAACCATAATCTCAACACTGGGAAGGCAGAGACAAGTGGAACCTGGGGATCACTGGTCAGCCAGCCAAATTGATTCAGCAAGCTCCAGGGTCACTGAAAGACCTTGACTCAAAATTACAAAATGAAATGATAATGGCTTCCATGTGCATGCTCATGGGTGAGCATACTCACATACAAACACATGTATACATTGCATACAACAGAGTGAGACACAGACATATAAGCAGAGAGGAGAGAGAGAGAGAGAGAGAAAGAGAGAGAGAGAGAGAGAGAGAGAGAGAGAGAGAGAGCCTCTAGCATTCCTGAAACTAGACAGCATAGTAACCTATCTATCTGATTATTTCTCTTTAGGAACAGAAAATAAAGGCAAGCAAAATCTCCTTGGCCCTGATTGGAACTGCATGCCCCAGATGACCACCTTCATTGGTGAAGGGGAACAAGAAGCCCAAATCACGTACATAGATTCTAAACAGAAGACTGTTGAGATGACAGACAGCACCTTGTGTCCCAAAGAGCACCGGCACTTATATCTTGACAACACATATAGTTCAGATGAACTTAACCAACCACTGACTCAGCCAGGTGATGCTCCCTGCGAGGCTGACTATAGAAACCTGGCTCAGCGGTCCCTGTTGACCATCTCAGGACCAGACACCCTGAAGAAAGCACAGGAATCTCCGCGAGGAGCTAAAGTGTCCTTTATTTTTGGAGATCTTGCCTTAGATGATGGCATGAGTCCCCCGACTCTAGGCTATGAAAGACTGTTAGACGAGAATCCAGAAATGCTGGAGAAGCAAAGGAGTCTTTACATCAGCAGTGCCAATGACATGAAAAATCTGGACCTCACCCCAGACACAGATAGCATCCAGTTTGTGGCAAATTCTGTATATGCAAACATAGGTGATGTGAAGAACTTTGAGGCCCCTGAGGGGATAGAGGAGCCCCTCTTACATGATATCTGTTATGCAGAAAACACTGATGATGCAGAAGATGAAGATGAGGTAAGCTGTGAGGAGGACCTCGTGGTGGGTGAGATGAACCAACCAGCCATCCTTGACCTGTCAGGGTCAAGTGATGACATCATTGACCTCACGACCCTGCCTCCTCCAGAAGGAGATGACAACGAGGATGACTTCCTCCTGCGTTCTCTGAACATGGCCATCGCTGCTCCCCCTCCTGGCTTTAGAGACAGTTCTGATGAGGAGGACACTCAGAGCCAGGCAACATCCTTCCATGAGGACAAGGAGCAAGGCAGCAGCCTGCAGAATGAGGAGATCCCTGTGTCCCTCATTGATGCTGTGCCTACCAGCGCAGAGGGCAAGTGTGAGAAGGGACTAGACCCTGCCGTTGTTTCCACACTGGAAGCCCTAGAAGCTCTTTCAGAAGAACAGGAGAAGAGTGAAAATTCAGGTTCTTTCACCATTGTTACATTTATTCACTGATAACCATTGTCATCCCATCCCTTTGAGCCATTTGTTTTTGGAGTCCTGCTATGTGGTGTATTGCATTTCATATAGGTCCCATTACATAAATATGCTGAACTACCATCATGGGGATTTTCTGCTAGGTGATTTCCTTTGTTGCTAGTTTAAAAAAAAAATATGGCATCCCTCCCCTCCTCTGGAACAACTGTGCAATAAAATCAGAGTCCTTATTGAAAAAGGAAAACAATCTTGGTTTTTTATTTGATTTTGTTTTTTCTCATTGTTTTCATTATAGTAATAATAGCTAGTGACTCACATTTTCTTGCATGTCTCTAAGTGCCTCTGCTCTAGCCATTAACTGCTTCTTGTTTTTTATGGCATACAGGTGTAGCCATCTTGCGGGCTTATAGTCCCGAGTCTTCATCAGACTCAGGCAATGAGACTAACTCTTCTGAAATGACAGAGGGTTCTGAGCTTGCTGCAGCACAGAAGCAGTCGGAAAGTCTCTCCCGCATGTTCTTGGCCACTCATGAAGGTTATCACCCTCTGACAGAAGAGCAGACAGAGTTCCCCACCTCCAAAGCCTCCTCCGGGGTCTTGCCTCCAAAGTCCTCCCATTCCCTGGCTGCTCGCCCAGTGACCGACCTCCCACCCAAAGTTGTGCCTTCCACCAAGCAGATCCTTCACTCAGACCACATGGAAATGGAGCCAGAAACCATGGAGACCAAGTCGGTCACTGACTATTTTAGCAAACTGCACATGGGGTCAGTGACATATTCCTGTACCAGCAAAAGGAAAAGCAAGCTTGCTGAGGGAGAGGGGAAAGCCCCCCTGAGTGGGAATGCACCAGGGAAAAAACAGCAAGGAACCAAAATGGCAGAGATGGAGGAGGACACCAAAGGCAAAGTTGGTACTGTGTCTTCAAGAGACAATCCACACCTTAGCACTTTCAACCTGGAAAGAACTGCTTTTCGCAAGGACAGCCAAAGATGGTATGTGGCCTCTGATGGTGGGGTGGTAGAGAAAGGTGGAATGGAAACACCAACCATGAAAACCTTTCCCAGAGGTCCAAGTCTGGGGAATCGAGAGGCTGAAGGGAAGGAGGATGGCACTGTCGAAGGAGAGGCTGACGATGCTTCAGGACTTGGCCAAGGAGACCGCTTCCTAATAGATATGGCCTGTGTGGCCTCAACCAAAAACTTAGACAACCCTGAAGATGCTGACTCACCCACTTGTGACCATGCCATTAAGCTTCCTGAGGCTGAAGACAGTGTGGCTCACCTTTGTGACTATCATTTGGCCAAGCGAATGTCATCCCTGCAGAGTGAGGGACATTTTTCTCTACAGAGCTCACAAGGCTCCTCAGTGGACACAGGCTGTGGCCCAGGCAGCAGTAGCAGTGCCTGTGCTACTCCTGTGGAATCGCCCCTCTGCCCCTCCATGGGGAAGCACCTGATTTCAGATGCTTCTGGAAAAGGTGGGGGTTATATTTCACCAGAGGAGAGAACCACTGGCCATCCCAATCATGGAGCCACCTTCAAGGAATTACACCCACAGACAGAAGGGATGTGCCCACGCATGACAGTGCCCGCTTTGCACACAGCCATTAATGCTGACCCCCTGTTTGGCACTTTGAGAGATGGATGCCATCGACTGCCCAAGATTAAGGAAACCACAGGTACAGCAATGATGGATTTAGTGTTTTATTTTGTGTGCCAGGAGCATGAGGACCTTATTTACAGCAAACCTACAAATACAGAATAAAGGATAGGGTAAAAAAAAAAAAAAAAAAAAAGGCAATGGAGCTGTTAAATAACAATCATTGATCCATTGACAATAAATAGTGGTTTCTGAGTCTGGAACAATGTGGAAAATAGGGCTTTCTCATTATAATTTTGCTTTGCTCTTACTTTAGGATTTAATGGCATCATAAATTCTTAGTGCAGAGATCCCCATATGACCCCCAGCTATAAGATCGTATTACTTCAGTTCATACAGCACTTTGATTTCCTTCTTGCTGAGATCACCCCTTTCTAGTTTTGCTGTCATGTTGTTTAGGGAAGAACATAGAGCAGACAGTGAAGAAGACTGAACGGTTTTTTACAAGAGTGTATGTGTCTCAGAAGAGTCATAGATTCCTCCCTTACCTTTGGAGGATGCCTTCCCTAAAGTAATATTCTCATGCTTCCTATGGACAGCAGTGTTGAGAAGAGTTGCAAGAGTTATGAGCCCCTCAAAATCTGTATTGAGTAAAAATAATGAGTCACAATCTGTGCTGCCTCTAGCCCACCACCCAGCAGGCTCATGCTCTTCCTGACCCACTTGGCTGGTCATCAGATGGCCCAAGTAGTTTTTTTTTCCCATAGTGACCAACAAAGTTTACTGAGATCTAATACAAGTTAGTGTCTAGTCCTCCTGTTTAAGAATATCTTTAAGAGTCTTCAAAAGATTTTCTAGTTGCCCCCAAACTCACCATTAGCTTTGTTTGCCTGCCTTGGGAAAATCATCTGTGAATGTTGCCCAACTCATTGTCTGGCTGCATATTCACTTGTAAATAAATTACAAACAATACCATTTAATCCTCCATGCCTTGCAAATGGCTTTTGCCTCCATTACCTCTTGCTCTTCTACATATATCATATTTTTGTTTGTTTTTTTTTTTCACATTAAAGTTGAGTAGCTTGTCTAGTGTCTTGTCTTTAAGCCCTGTGCCAAACAAACTTCACAACTCATGCTGTCCTCTTAAAACAGGTAGCTGAATTAATTAGCAAGAATTCAGTTAGGACACTTACAACATGGTAACCCGTGTGATGATTAAACCAACTCTCTGAAAATGTCAATATCTCAAACCTGTTGGAATAATGCATGCAGTGGGAGGCTTGTTTACTAACTATATATCTAACCTTTGATAGGTAAATATCAGAACGCAAGAAATTCATGAAATACAATAATCTCTATGCAGATGTTTCATATTTCTAGACAAATCCAATTGTGTCAGTAGTTCCAGAAGCAATAGACTACAGAAATTATTGCCATCCATTGACATGGGGATCTGTTATGAGTTATTAGGGAGGAATCTTTGGGAAGCAGGATAGTCTTGAAACATGAAAGCTCTTTGAAAGTGGAACTCTGGGAAATGACAGCCATCACATAGAGCAGTAGTAAAAATGTCCACCCAGAAGATGCTTAACGACTCTCTCTGTTTTTCTACTACCCCTAGTGTAGCTTTGACAGAGCCTGGGAAGGAGAGACAAGGAGGCATGCCTTTAGCTTGGTCTCAACACCCTGAAGCTGATCCCATCCTGCTACCATCAAACATTCACTTGGAATCAAAGGTGCCAAGCCCAAATAAAGACCCTAATGATTTCTCCCAAGCAAACCAGGCATTCACAGAGGCTGTGAGCTGGTGGCCAGCGGATCTGAGAGGGGGGAGCCTCAGAACACCCCCTAGCCAGAGGGCTCTCAGACATAGCAGCAGTGTCCTCTCAGGACCTATAGATTTGGAGACTTTCCAAGACAGAACCAAGGGTGCAGTCAGCTTGAAGTATCCAGGTATCACAGAAGCACAGGAAGCTGGTTCAGAAAGACAAGCAGAACTTCCGCTGGGGAAGAAGCTCACCAAAAGTTTTTCCCAAAGCTCTATGCACTTTATCTCTGAGGGAAAGTTTCACAAAAGGTCCCCAGTGTCTCATAAAGATTCAAAGGTGTATAGGACCCTACCCTTGCGGAAGCTGGAGGGAAGCAACTGGAGGTGCCGAGGACCCTTCAGCTACTGTTTTCTGAACCAAGGGCAGGATGAAGATGGGGATGATGATGAAGAGGAGGCAGAGGCTACGCTTCAGGTCTCTTGTCTCTATCAACCACAGATAACTCAAGGCATGCCAGAACCAAGTAACTCACCCCTGGTTGTTGGACTGCAGAAGAAAGGAGAACTGTCCAGAGGGCCAATGCTGAAGGTCTGGACAGAAGACCCAAGTGGCCCAGATGACTTGGACTTCAGCAGTCTGGCTTTTGATGCCCGGATTGCAAGAATAAATGCTCTAAAGGCAAGCACATATGGAATGCCCGATGGGTTCCTTGAAGCCCAGAATGATGCCAATGAGCTGCTCTGCCTTGTCAGGGCAACCAAGGCAAAGAGAGAGGAGTCACGCCCTGAAGCATATGACCTTACACTTTCTCAGTACAAGCAACTGTTATCCATTGAGTCCAGACAGTTGGGAAGTGCCTGTAGGAAAATGGCAATGGCCGAGAAAAGCCCAGAAGAGATGCTCCTAGCTATGAGTTCCAGTTTTCAAGTCCTCTGTTGCTTAACAGAAGCTTGCATGAGGTTAGTGAAAGTTGTGAACTCTGAAACACAGCGGCAGGAAATTGTAGCAAAGATTGATGAAGTGGTCATAAACTATATTTGTCTCCTGAAAGCTGCTGAGGCAGCCACTGGCAAGACCACTGGCGATTCTAGTTTTGGACTGTCGATGCGACATTCAACTACCATGGCCGCTCTTGTAAGCACACTAACACGTTCTCTCAAGATGCTTTTAAATAAGTAAATATGAAAGTCACATCATAATCTACCTTTGCAAAGCCATACATGAACTTTTCTTTACTTTCTGTGTACAATGAACAGCTGTCTCTTTTCTTCTCTCTGTATATTTTGTTCTTTTATATATAATAGGAGATAGAAGTTACACTGATGAAATGTTAATATGTCCTAATCAGATGAATTCTGTTTATATTATAATATATATACATGTAAAAGGAAAATATGAGAAAATGATGGCACTTGGCTGGTTTTCATACAGCCAAAACTTCAGGCATATGACGTGAAATTTTAAATTCTACCATATTAGAGGAAAACAATAAATCCTATCCCCTCTCCTTCCAAGTGGATACTTGGAGACCCTATCATTCATACTTAGAAGTAAAAATCCAAAGAAAAAACTAGAAAAAAAATCAAAATGTATATAAAACAGTTCGTGTATTTTAAAATTATGATTTTTAAGCATTGGAAGTAGCAAAAAGATATTTAAAATTTAAGAAGCTATTATAAATTATTAGAGAATATATATAATAAATTAACTTTTTGCTCATAATGTTTTGTTATTGGATGCTTTCTTCCAAGAATTCCCACATACTCAATTTTGGTTTATGCTGTTTGGGCTACAGATGGGCAGGGGGTGGGTAGATTTCATTGTGTCAGTATAAGTGCTCTTTATAGTACTTCTAGACTTAAAAGTTCCCCAAATAGAAAATCAGGGGAAATAATGAGCAGGATCCTAGGCAACAGCTAAAGGTATGGGTTATCCAATTACACAAAATAAATGGAATTAGTAATTTCAAAATTAAATTGTTCAATGAAAAGAGAGATCTGCTTTGACTCAATGTCAAAATAATAAACCAAAGGCCTTATTTTTATTCCATCTCAACCATGAAGCTTACAATTTCCTTTAGAGAATACCTAGTAAAGTATTTGTAACATTACACAAAAGCAGAAGATTTAATGATAACAGAAAGTGCAGACCTAGTAATGTAAATCAGACCGCACACCAGCACCTCGGAAGCACAGCTTAGCCTTCAGCTCCCAGCCATCAACTCTATGAATGGCTCCCTGTGGCACCTCCACTACAGGAGCATGGCTAGCAACAAAATATGGAAGGACAGCCTACTACAGGGACAAAATATCAAACCTAAAATGCTCCAGAAAATCAAGGAGAGATGACTACACTCATGATTGAAACCATGATTCAAAAAGTAATATTTACCTAATCAATACTTCATTTGGCTGATAGAAATATGAAATCTGAACAGAAACATGGTAAATTTGACCATTCCAAGTGAAACTAAGGGAATTCAAAGGTGTATTCTGAACTGTCATCTCTCTAAAAATATCTTTGGGTCAAAATAAAAGAAGGCAAACTCTTCGATCATAACTTAAATTGATATGTAAATATGTAGTTCCTGGATCACTCAGTAGTCAAGTTCTCCACATTCCTATTTATGTAAATGGCTTAGAATAAGAGTAGTATAGCAAGAACCAATATTTCTCATTTTGTAACCTGCCATGCAGGAGACCTAGCAAGGTCAATAGTTGCTATTTCTCCCTGGTCAGCCATTCATTCCACAGAGACTCAGCAAAAGCCACACCACAGATTTACAGATTGGAAACAATGAAAGGAGTTCAGATATATGTTATTATAAATAATGTTTGATTAAATAATAAAACATTATTTCATTACAATTCTAAATTTTTGGTGTTTTGCTATCGAGAGACATTAGTGGTGTTTACTGTGGAAAAATCTTAGTAAATATTCTGTGTACTATAAATCAAACAATAATAGGATGTGTGCTCTGTGTCAGACAATGTGCTAAACATTATCAACATGTATTATCTCATTTAATCATTTCTATGATCTCTTGGTTTGGAAACTATCATTAGTTCCTTCTGGGAGCATTATGGTTTAGTAAGTTATGAAATGTGGGGCTTGGGGTCAGAAACATCTTGATTTGAATTTTGGTTCAGCCATTCCCTAGCCCTTTCATCTTGGGAAAGCTATCCTTTTCTCAGTCTTGATTTCCTTATTGTGAAATGGACTTCAGTATTGAGATCTATTTCCATAGGGTTGTCACAAGTTTTAAGTAGAATTGTGTATTGTAAAGTTTTTATCACAATATCTGATGGAGAATAAGTATTCAATGTTAGATATTATAATTATCACAACTGTTGTGTTCAATATATTGCCCAAGATACTATGTGGAAGATGTTTGTTTTCTATGCATATTGTATCCTGACTGTGTGCAGAACACATTATGTGTAGTGCATATACTGAAAAGAAACATACAAGTTTATGATGGTCCTTTTTCAAATTGCAAATTTAGTGAGAACAACTTCCTAGTCCATTGTGGTTCTTTGAGAAGCCTCAAGGAAATAGCTCTGGGTCTTTCTAGCTAATCTCTCATTTCCTGTGGCCACTCCAGTAAGTTTCTTTTCTCCTCAACAAAGTCTTTACTATTCAAAAGTCTTAAAATGCTCCCTACCCATCTCTAAGTATGGGGCTCCAAAATGGAGTTCTTGTACATTAGAGTATAGGAAGAACATACTAGAATGATATTTCTGTTTATTTTTATCTAGTTTTTTTATGTTTGTGTATGTTTTATAATGGCATAATAGTACAGTGGTACATGTACATAATTTTAAATAAATAAATAAATTAATTAATGAACAAATAAGCATAAGCCTGGTGCATGTATGCAAAACACTCTCACGGGTAGAGTTGTATTCACTAAAGTTTGAAGAACATGGAACTGGAGAGTAAAACTACCTGGCACTGGAGTTTGTTTACAGTGTCAAGCATGTTTTTCCAAGTGTATTTCTCACCACTTTTATTTAGCTGTCATTATAAAAGGTACAAATGTGTACAAGAATACAGACACTTAAATAAGGAGCCAACTGGGGACTCATTGGACATAAACTCTCTTTAAAGTTTTTTAAATTAATTAATTAATTAAGTTTTTGGACATCAACTCTTAAACAGTTTTACTTTTACCATTTCTACTCATCTCCCTCCAGCCTTTATGACTTAGAAACAATCCCTGATATCATGTTTGATCCATGAATCTCTCATTAGTAATCTTCTGGGAATAAGAACTTTTAAACATAACCACAATGCCCCTTCACATATTAAAAATGACCAATTTTTCCACAGCACTAAACAAATATTAAAGAAATTAATGGTGATTAAAATGAATATCCTTTATAAACCCAATCTCCAAAGATATTGTCCACAATGCTGCCATATTTTCCCCATCTGTTTCTCTATATGTATATTGCTGGTTTTTGTTCTTCTGAGTTTTGTTCTTCTGAGTTCTTCTGAGTTTAACTTTGAACTCAGTTGGTGTAAGCACATGGATATCAATTCCTTCATAAACCATGTATGTAGACTTTTCACAAGAAACATAGTTGTCATGAGGAGGAGAATTGTCACATGAACAACTCTCATAAGATTCACTATTTGATACAGTTGCTTCAGATGTCAAAATGGTATGGACTCCATCAACTTTGGGTTCAACAGGAATGAATCTAATCAGATAAGCAATAACTTACCAGAAAAGAGTTTTGAAATCATCATCTACAATACTATTACAAGAGTTTGATTCCTTTTGCTAAGAACTCCAATTTTCATGGTAAAGACACTCTCCATTCGCTTATAGTCCATTTACATATACTTCCAATGCAATTATTAATTACCTTAATGTTGTTTCTGAACCACTCAGAATGTTGCTTTAATCTATTCTGCCTGAATTTTTCTTGATCTGCCAATGGGCCACACGTAAGACCCAGGGTTCCATCCCTAGAAGTAAGGGGAAAGGGAAGAGAAAGGAAAGGAAAGAGAAGGAGGAAATGAAATGATGAGAGATAGACTCAGGAAATATTTGTGGCAAATCAAAGTACGTGAATATTACATTGTTTCTAATCTGATTTTGTCCTTGCTTTGAATGTAGTCAATTTTGGTGTGTGTGTGTGTGTGTGTGTGTGTGTGTGTGTGTGTGTGTGTGTGTCCATGTATCTATTTGTCTGTCTGTGTCTGTTTTCCTACCTATGAAACTAGCTTTCCATTTGGTTTTATGGATTTCAATACACCTTTCCTCTCTGACAGTACATAAAGTATAAAAAAAGTTTAGATGTAATGTGCCTGATCCTCCTTTAAAGGCAGTAAAAGTAAAAGTAAAGGTAGTAATAGCTATTCAGCTTTAACATATAAAGGAGTGAGAATTCTACCTTCAGAACTGAGTTTATATTCATAGCAATTTGATTGTCATCACTAAACTGGATATTCTTAGTTGTTCCAGTTAATCTTTAGCTATTTCACTTAAAAAATTTACTTATTCTTTGCAAATATATATATATATATGAAATTTGTACATATAACATATATGTACATATATATACATATATATTCTGAAATATTTACCTCAATTTCTCCTCTTCAACGCTGCTCAGATTCCTCCAACAGCTCCTCCTCCCACCATGTTCATAATAGCTCCTCAATTAGAGGCGGGGTTTCACGAGCCCCTTCCTCATCCATGCTGGAAGAGGAATTTTATCGGGCTTGATTTTGTGCAGTTGACCACAACTGCTGTGAGTTCATGAGTAGAGTAGCCATACTGTAATAACAGGAAAGCAATTCATAACACTCCTCCCTATCCTCAGGCTCATACATTCATCCCACCTCCTTTCAGATAAGGTTCGCTGCTTTGCAAAGAGAGTTGACAAAGATCGCCTTTTAACAAAATACTGAGATGAAATAAATCCTACTTCAGGGTGGTGGGGGAATAGATAATTATCCTACGTAGCTTATAAAATCAACCCACTGCCTTCAGCTGACATTCTTCTTATCTTTTCCGCCATAATTTCAATTTTCTCTTACCTATTTATTTTAGAGCCTTGGATTTGTTTTGTTTTCATTTCTTCTTGCTTATTCTCATTTTACACTTCATGGCTTGAACTGAAATTCTGTGCCATTTGTGATATCTTGTTCAAAGTATATGGTTAAAAACTCACTGTATTTGTTGACCTACGTAATGTTGCATTTCTTTTCT